AGGGAGGTCTTTCAGGGCAAGGTGCGCTTTTTCAAAACGCTTTTGTGTATATTGTAAAGACGCATGTAGGGAACGCAAAACCATGTTTCGTTTGCTTAACGGTTATAGCAGTACCAAAAAAGAAGCATAAGGTACGGGGTTCGATCCCCGTGGCGACTAAATTTTGCATTGGGCGCCTACGGTTTGGTGCCAAATCGCGCTAAATATCAAAATCAGATGTCAATTCATCGTCAGGACCATTTTGAAGCCAACAAGTGGCCGCCAACCTTGATTGCAAAATTTAGTCGCCGCGGGGATTGAACCATCAAGAGTATTATTCACCACTTTTTTGGTACTACTAAAACCGTTCAGCGAAAACGAAACATGGTTTTGTGGTCCATACACATGTACTAAACCGTTTCCAAAAAGCGCACCTTGCCCTGAAAGACCTCCCTTGTAAGAAGCAGCTTTGGCCGCGTTGTACTCACATAGCGTCAAGTGGTTCACATTATTTTATGCTAGACGTCCCATCTTTTGAACAGTTCGACCCGTTAAAATGAAAGTTATTGAGAAAGTCTTCTGCCAAAGAATTACGCGCTACATTAACTCTAGCTACGCGGAAATCACTTTACAAAGTTGTTTCAGAGGAGATGAATCAGAATGTGACCAACGGAAGGAACGAATCTGATTCCCCCGCAGAAATATCTTCAACCTCAACGGCTTTCTTGACGGAAACGCATGAGGTTACAGTGTCTTCTTCAATACCATACTCAAGCCGATCAGCACACAGTGACAGAAACTACACATGTAGATTCTTCTGAATCCACGACAACGGCTCCAGTTCCTTTGAACGCTACACAAACCTCTTCGGATAACGTTACTTATACAGTGGAGGAGGATAAGGCAATAAACGGAACAACTGAAGAGCCAACTGCAACCAGTAAAGCGATCTGGAGCTTAGAACACACAACAACAACTCTTGCGAATTTCACTGAAACAACTTATTTGCCTATCGAATCATCTCCAACAGCCACGCAAGAATCTACAACCACTTCAGGAGTATCCACAACAACGACCATGCAGGAGATCTCTGAAACAACTACAACGTCCGGTGATCAAACCTCAACTACCACTCTTCCAACTTCCCACTTTAGTTCGTATGTTACCTTATCAACAACTGAAAGTACACACTCGCCCACAGATGTCACTACTACGAAGGAACTCCCAGCGAAAGCCCTCCAGCATTTTCGAAAACAACGTCAGAAACTGTGACTGAACTCATCGACATCTGTGCACAGAAAAGACACCACTACAGAGCGTATTTCCTCAACAACCGTCAAGGAATCCAGTACGTCACCCGGCGTTCCTTTAGTAGTACGAACAGAAACCTCCCCTTCGACACCTGTGCGCGAAATATTTACCACGGGAACTTCTACGGGAGCCGTACTCAGAAAATATTTCCACAACAGCCACTGAATCATTTACGGTCATTAAGCACTACAGCCAAAACGACGGAAGAGACCACATCGTCGGAATCATCTACGAGCTCCTTTGAATCGACTACAAGTCATCTCCCGCCGCTACCATTAACTGTGTAAGCTTATATTTTCCTGCTATATAATCATATCACAAATTCCTTGCTGAAGAGCTTAGAACACGGCTCGGGGCAGCTTTCCGTTCTCTCTGACAGAGTGCGGCAAGTTTACTGCGAAAAGTCATTGCTCTCCTAAAACGGCAATGCAGATAGGGTCAGGCTGATTTTTGAAGCAGCTTGTTTACGGCGATTATAATGCGCGCTACAAAGTTGCATTGATTCTCAGACTGCCTCCTTAGGTCGAAGGCCAGACTTTTGCACAACTTGACGACAGCGCGGGATTACATACTCGTCCGCACTCTTCAGCTCGCCTGAGACAACATAAATGGTGTCCATTTCTCATGCCTCCATTTTGCATTGCTATGAAATTGTACATACCAATCCGGAATACAGAAAATATACATTATGTACACAGCTAGCATTATGAAAGGTTTAGTGAAGATAACTTTATGAAAATTCTGTACGAAAAAGTAACAGGTAGCAGGCTCGACACAACGTCGTGAGACGTCGATGTGTTAAAGGCAGTGAGTAACATTGCGCCTTAACGCTCCTCCATCAAAAAAGAACTGGAACTCGCAGATCTGTGCGTCATTAAGTGCGACTAGCGAAGATATGGCCACAAAAGCGAGTGAGGCATAGTTTGAGAGTTTTTCTAAGATGAAAACGAAGTTGCGGCCCAGATTGATGCTTCCATTGGAGTGGCCTCAGATGCTCAAATTAGAAAATCGGGAGCTTGAAGTCATATGCTCTCTGGGAATGGCAAGCGCACCTAATAGGATAGCAGTATTCCATCCGAAATGCTTCTGATGCGGGTAGGCCCACTAAGGCGTCCGTTTCAATGGGTCAGCCCTTCCCAGGTCTCTACGGTCGCGCCGTTCACCGCTGAACGCACAAGGCCTCGCTTCCTCGGAGCCTATTCCGTTCATATTCGCCATATGTACCCAACATCAGCAACCAATTTATCGCATTCACTCTACGTACTGAATATAGCAGAATATATACGTTTGCATTACTTTAGGGTACTGTCTTCCAAGAACGAGAGAGTAACTGATCCCACGTAAGTTGATGGTTGACCTTTAATTTAATTGCCCTTTATTAGACTTACCATTAATTGTGCTATTCAGCAGATCCACGCTGTCTGCTGTTTTGTGCTAGTGTTTCACTCACCTCTGAAGAAAAAAAACTGATTTGGAAATTCTTATTGGGTGTTTCTCTTCACTTCTCGTCGGAATAGGGGAGGGAGCGGGGGAATGGAGGAATGGCTATCCAAAATTGTCACATCTGGCAAAGAAATCTTGCGGATAGAAGCAATACATATCACATACATATATAGTTCACTTAGTACATCAGAATTTTTCTATATTTCTAATCTTTTTCTTCTTTAATCAAGTTTGCCAGTTTTAAAGAAGCTCTGTAGGAAAAAGACCTTGTGCCAGACCCCTACCAAAGTTTTTTGAGCAAATTGTGAGATCGGTATTGGAATGGTCGTGATTTTCGTTTTTTTTTCAGGATTGTGATCGCCGTGGTTGCTCTAGCTTTCATTGTCACATTGCTAGTTCTTGTAGCATTAGTGTTCACATGGAAAGCGAAAAAGGCAAAAGGAAGTCGAGGTAATGCTGACAACATCCAGCGTATTACATTTTCGTGCGCTGCTCTTCTTTTCACTTCTACTCAAAGGATTCCCGGGCAAAACCATGATTCTATCGTCACCCGTCAATTACTGGCTTGGGAAGCATAGTCCATAATAAGAACGACAAGATTAAAAAATTGCGTTTGTTTTGTCACAAATTCGAAAAACCGGAAGGTCTGTTGCTCTTCAAATTCGCGTCGCCAGCATTTCTGACAGATTTCCAAGTGACGCTTCCACTTGATTCACGGAGTGTTGTCGCTAGAAACTCTTTTCGACCTTCTGATTGGTTGCACTGACACCTCACACTTCTACTGCATCCTATTCTATCGGTTGTTTGTGCCTATTCTCCAAAATCGAGTGCTTTTACCAGATCCGTTCATTGCGTCATCTGATGGGTAACGGAGGCCCGTCGCGCGGCAAGAAGGCAAAGTCAGCGGACGAGTTGCGCGCGTGCTATAGGCATTTCGCGTCAAGTTAAATAGAGTGTCCCACTGCACGTCCCACATCGCACACCACGCGCTGCAACTCGTTCGCCGACTCTGCCTTCTTTGCTGCTGCGCGGGCCTCCTGGGGCGGGGGCGAGGGGGGTACCGTCACCTGACTAGTAAGCCGCCCCAAGGTCGCACTTCTTTCATGCTCGCCTTCGGAACCGCGCGTTGCACCGTAGACCAAGGTGAATATTGCTTGAGGATTCCTCAACGGCACGTCGAGGATTTTCGCCTGATCCTTTACGTTCTCGCGCGCGGATATTCACTCTCGCCACCCGCGAGCCGTCTGTGCTCTCCGCGCGTACATTCACTATCGGCTCTACTCTCGCACAGCAGAGAGCGATGGTCGAGGAATTCGTCGACCGTTATTCGCCCTGAGTTTTCCCTTCGACTGTCTCATAGAGAGTGGGTTTTGTGAGTTTGTTTCTCTCGGAAACCAATACTCACCCCGTCGTGGGAATTTTGTGTGTTTCTTATTAGGGGTCACACTGACACTTGGCATGATTCTTCAAATATGGTTCGATGTTACTTTCGTGTTCGTGTAAAGCCCACCATTTGGTAGCAGCTGTCCCAAACCACTATGACCTGGGTGTGCGCGCCATACCAGACAACTTTGGTCGAACGACCGTGTCGCCAACAGATCTCAAAAAGCCACATACATATGTCGTTAGTTTATATGTAGTTTCCGATTTGAGTTGCCTGCACTGGGACTTGCTGACCACTAATGCCCTACACCTAACAGCACATCATGGGACATCATCAGAACAGCAACTTTAGAAACGAATGTTCTTTCGAAGTTGTGAGGGAGTCCTCCCATAAATCGAACTACTTGTCATCTGTTGCCTCTTCGCGCAACGATTATTGGACCAAGGAGCAGACACTAAGCAGAATAGTGTCATATACACGTCCTGCCGTGCGGCTTGCAACCGTAGTCGGGTTTTCTCGCAGAGGCGCACAAATTGTTACAGTTCCTTCGGAATGCGAGACCAAAAGCAGTTTTTTCTGGTTAGAGGCTCTATAACAAGGATCAAGCGTTCCTCTATGTTGGCTTTGGATGGCCCTTAGAAGATGACACCAGAGTATCCGCTTCTCTCTAGTGTCGTTCCCAGCCATCTGATTATTTTTTGAAATTTAAAACGCATACCGCATATTCGATCCTTCCGATTCTGTACCGGTGTGCGACTTCATGCAGTTATGCGTCAGATTATGAACAACAGGGACTTAAACATATGGAATAAGTATGAACAACACTGAATTATCGAGGTGGTAAATCAAAATTAAATCGTATGTTGATTTTCAGCTGATCACAAGTTTGCCCAAAAAAAAGGTAGCAGAAGACGATATACCCCTGCAGGGCTCGTCAAAATCACGCCTCACAGAACCCATCCGCAAAGTAAGGAAAGATATACCATCATGTCATTTCCATAAGGTTTTGCTCACAGCACGAATCTGCAAATTCCATTACTAACAACGATAGTATTACTATTGCAAGTAATAGCGTTACTCTCGGAATTTCTTTTCCGTTTTTTTTGCACGAAATATGTACAATTGAGGAGAACTGATGCCTTTTTGGGCGAATATCCCTCGATAAATGTACACATTTTTGCATAGAGAACCTGGGGGATGGGTTGATTCCCAATAAGAAGCGGGTTCCAGAGATGGAGGAATGTAAAACAGTGCGATAAAGCTTTGCAGCTGCTGCGAAAGCTCGTACGTCGCCGAATATCAGGAGCTTGCCCTACACTTCGATAGCAATTTTGCCAGACCTGAAGAATTTTACAGAAGTGAACAATGCCTAAAGTTTGCTAGCACGGCCTGGAACACGCATCAGCCCGTTTTTATGAGGTTTCCGGAATGTATATGAAAGTTAAGGTCAGTGGCCAGAACGCTTAGGTCTAAACGGTCTCTTGTTGTTTGGTGAAGGAGCGTAGACGAGGCAGAGCAAGACTGGATATGAAAGATCGAAGATAGTATATGTGTTCCTGGTAACATTTCGATATCTACTCTGCAACAAACTCTGAAAACATTCGCCTCGGTAGTCGCCCTCAACCTGGTGCGTACAGGAGAGCCATCTCGAGAGTCGATCTACCTGTATGGAGGCCCGGCTGGCCAACCTCAGGTGATACCATTTATTAACACATCACCCCTTAGATCACCTCTCTCAGAGGCAAGCTCCAGCAAGTGCCTTACCCAAAATGTATGCCTTGTGTACGCTCGGGGTGTTCCTCGGGGCTCCATGCAGCCGTGTCCTAGTCGGATCTACTTAAACGACGGCTTACAGCAGGGGACAGTGGAAGGACAGGCTAGCTTCAGATAACAAGCTACTCGCGCTACTGAACTCGGGAGGTGTTCCGCCTCGACTTGAGCTAGCCTCATCGAATGTTGCGATGGGGAAGTCGACCGCAACCACAACGAGTCTCCTAGAGTTTACCAAACGAGTCCATAGGCGACTTTAATCGTTTGGCTCGACGTATGGGGGGGGGGGGTGTGTTTCACCATGCGTGCAAATGAGCGCGGGCGGGATCCGAGCGGCAAGTGGCTTTGTGCCAGTTTCACCGACGAGCCCACGCGCGCATCTCGGCGACAAAGCTTGTTAAAAGGACAGCATAGGCAAAAATCACGACTCTTTTCGGTCATTGGAAAATTGACCTCGCAATAAATTGAGAGAGGAAGTGATCAGAGGCTCTGCACATTTGTCAAAGAAATGCTAAAAGTTGCGTTTGGTGAGAGAGGTGTTATGGTCTTGGTGAGAAGAGCTACTGAGAGAAGTCTGCAGTTCAGTCGCAGCAGCCATCAGACCGCGGTTGCAATCCCACTTCGCAGCTTTTAAAGAAAGAAAGTCGTCCAATCAAGGGCATGACCATGCCGTTGAGGTTACTGGGCAGCAACATTTGAACCGTCTAAGCATTAGGTTCTCATCGGGGATCCCACTTCTAGGCAGTAGTATTCAAAGTAAGGGCAGCGCCACGAGATAAATTGGGTGATGATCGGAAAAGGATTCGCGCTAAAGGAGGAGTTAGGCAGGCTAAGGGGATTTTTCTTGGTAAAAGAAGCACCAGTAGCAACACACTAAGGCTCCGAATCTATTGACATAGGCCCAGCCTTAAAAGTGTGGTTATTGAAGTCTGAGACATATTTGATCTTGTCGGACGACCTTCACTTCAGGAAATGCATTTCTCGGTATCCCCCATTCCCAGGTGTACCGTATATTCTACCGGGACACACCTACCCGAGAGCCGGCAGCTAAGCTGAACTCTGAAGGTTGAAAGCAGAGTGGTAGTTCACATTCGCGTTGTTTACCGGTCTCTTCGGCACTCTCGATGGACATCGAATTATAGTGCTCGTTGTTTTTTTGAAGCGGTCACTTGCAGTAGAGCGGCTCCAGCTACCCTCCCGATAACGCGTTCTGCCATATTCATCATCACCAAAACCCAAGTCATAGCCGTAGATAGCCATTTTTGGGCCAAAGAACTTCCCGATTCGCAAATTTGGGCAAGCTAAATGGGACACTTTTAGTTTTAGCATACCAGTTTTAGAATTTTTGAGATAATTTGTTTGGTATTTGAGCATGATAAGAAGAAACGTCGAAAGAAGAAATCGAAAGACAAATCATCGGATTCGGGAACTACGCATGGGTTAACGAAACCAGAGAAGGCGCCAGACCAGGATAAACAGTCGAGAAGTAAATCAGATCAAGGACTCCCACATGATATAGCCAAACAAATCAAGAAGAGCAAAGAATCAAGAAGTAAATCGGAATCCGGAAAAGGACAAGAAAAGGGAAAACCGCTGACCATTCAGGTATGTTTTTGTCGCTTTCTAGACTCCAAGACTCTTCGTGAAGTCCTGTAGACATGGCTGAGTGCTTTTTTCCACTCATGATTACCACTATCTACTTTTCACTAAATTTTGCTATCGTATGGTATGCAAGCTCTAGCGGTACGGCACCAGAAGACGGGGCGACTTAGTGCGGGCCGTGGCCTCACAGTGACGTGGGTTTCCACATCCGGGGGGTGGGGATGGCTCCAAGGGTAACGGTAAGAGAGTCCAGGCGTGCTTTGTCATATTCATACACGAGAAGTTTCGATAGGAGTGGCTCACTAGTGCAATAGCTATGCTAAAATGTAGTAAAAAACTTTACAAACATACAATAGACTATCACTTTTTGAAATGCGCCACGCTTCCAGCTCGACGTTTCGTAATCGTTGAAAAACATACTTGCGTCAATTCTCGCGGTTGCGCAGACATATCATATGGCTAGCAGTAGTGGCCCCACCTCGGTCAACCTTACATAAAGGCTAGGCCCACACTCTGAGTGTTTTTTGCATTTTTTGGTTTTCCTTATTACTTTTAGCCCACTCCGCACCTCCACCTTCAATTCTTGAACTACCTTTAGGGCCACCGAGGGCCCCTTCGTAGCGTCACGACCCACACCCGTGCACCCCCGCCTCACCTAGACCCGTTCTCGTCTTCTAACGCCCCCTCCCGACATCTTCAGCGCCTAAACCAATCGATCTCGAAAAAGCGGTTTTCGTTCAGGTTGTCTAGCTGGCGTTGATTCCACTTGACAGCACTTCATTGATTCTGTCAGGGGCAAGCTGTCCAATGATGAATAGATCCTGTAACGGATGACTTTTCGAAGCAAGTACCATTTTGCTTTCCTAGAAAGAAGGGCAACACTGCACGAGCAAAGATGTGCTGTCATAGCTGCAAATCGGTCTTGGGATTCGACAGTTCTGGGAAGTCAACGCTTTCACTCTTCCATGCCTTCAACGCCAAATCCCGCAGTACCAAGTACTCGCTACTGAGACTTTTGACGTTCACTTATTGGGCGTCCCCGAGAACGATGAAGCTTTCTTCTGCGCTGCCTACACCGCGCGACGTTCAGTCTACATGCTTAGCCGTTAGTGACTTATTTTCAGTATAACTTCGGCGCATGTGAACTTTCCGTAAATATCCTACTATATATAAGCGGCTAGCGTGTGTCTGTTGGTGTGTGTGTGTGTATGTTTGACCGGAAATTCATAGCTCGAGTCACAGTAACGATAGCGCAGTGGTTCTTACATATGTTATAGGGGGTGGGATGGGGACACAAGTGGTACGTGATAGGAACTGATAACGACTGATAATAGCTGATAAGAGGGGCTAGAAAGCGAGCATCGCCAATTTCGTTTTGCCGTTCATATTGGTAAAAGAGCGTCTATACTTACAAGTCTTATGTGGGGCGGTCCCGGGACATTGGTGGTACATGATTGGAAGCGATAGCAACTGATAATGGCTGATAAGATGCGCTAGAACGCAAAAGTCGTCGATTCCGTTGCCTGGCTCGCGTTGACACCAGAGCAACCATACTTACAAGTGTTATGTGGGGTGGGACGGGACATTGTTGGTGGGTACCAGGATAACGATTGATAAGGGCCGATAAGGTGCGCCAGAACGCTGAAGTCGTCAATTCCGTTACGCAGCGTTGACACTAGAGCGTTCCTATTTACAAATTGTAGTACGTGCACATTGTTTCGATATAACCAGCTTACTTAATAGAATTCGACTGCATAAACCTAAACAAGTCTTCAGCAAATGATAAGTTTTCATTTCTGATGCACTATTAAGAAAACCCAAACTCATTAAACCGCTAATTCATTCGGGGTTCTAAATAATGGTGAATGTAAATGAATGATAAGCATTAGCTCTCACTTATGTAAATAGGCATATTTCGTTTTGATTTTGAGACTGACAGCAATCCTATTCACCGCTAAATTATCTTAATTCAAGAAAATGCTGGATGTTTACAGTTGTGATCAATATACCAGTTCAGCTCAGACGTTATCACGCGTATTCTCGATGAGCTTCAGTGAAACTGTGGAGGGTCTAACACAGTCAATAGTGAGATGGTTAATGGAGTATCTCATGCTGATATTCCATGGGTCCTCCAATTTCGCTAAAGCCTGCCGTGTGATGCGCGCGATAGCGGGCGAAGCAAAACTGGTATAAAAATAAAACAATGGTTTCAAGAACTTGCTTCTTTCTGGGGTCATAACACTTCTCGCCGCGGCAAACAGAGTTTACCCGGATGTCTTTGGGGTGTATACAGACTTGCCTGGATTGACGAGAACGCTGATTTGAACACTGCTTTGCCAGCTGCAAGTCATTGGCCTGTAACCAGGTGTGAACCAAAAGTTCTGTGGTATTACCACGTTGACGACAGCCCGTTGTGCGCGCATCTCGACATCTTTTTCATTCATTATTTTTAAAAGAAATTACTCCTTCAACTTCCACCACTGTTAATTGTGCACAGTTTTCCGGATAAGATGATGCATCCAGACAGTTTTGAAATATGAAAAATGCCAAATAAACCGACCAAAACGAGCCCCACGAGCCAAAATCTGACGCGCATGCGCGTCATGCTGTCATCACGTGTTAATAAATAAAAAGGATAAAGCATTTGCCGTTGATCAATCCCTTTTTGGGATGCGGCACGCATTCTACTTCCATTTGTACATTCGTAGTGGCGTTTGAATGCGATGTGGCCTATACAATGACTTGCGGGGGCCAGCCGATGTACAAGTCAGTGTTTTTATCCTCCCAGACAAGTCTGGTACCAATTAACCGACCCCGGAGGGATGGAAGGCTTGGTTGGCCCGGGCGACTCACGACCCAGGATTTGATCCCCGGACCGCTCGCGTGGTAAGCGTGCCACTTGCCACTACACCACTTCCGCCCCTTCACTATTCTGAGCATTTCCTGTAAAAGGTTCCGTAACTTGCTGTACATCTTCTGTATATTATGTAAAGCTATAGAATATACAATCGAACATTGTTCTTTCAGCAACTTGCACCGAACAACATTTTCCCGTTCTCAATGGCTGAATTGGAACGGCAACAGGTTTGCGTCTTTGCTCGCACCTTGTCGTCCTTCTCAAAGCCACTTTCTGGAAAGATCGAGAAGAAATCATTTTCAGGTGAAGGAATTCAATATGTTCATCGATAAGCTGGCGATGAAGGATAAAAAACCTGGCAAATCTCCGTCATCATTGGCGTCAACGTTGATTTAGTCCGGATTTGCACGATTCTCTGAGGCAGACAATATATGAGGCTACAAAATAATATCCACATACCTGAATTCAATACCAATTACTGTGTAATCTCTTATGTTAATTAAAAGTATAAACGCCTTGTCAATTTGAGTATCTTGTCTTGTCACATTTTCGATGGGTCTTTTACCTAACTTACTGGCATATTCCACAAAGGTAAAATGTTTGCCGTTACGGTCAGAGGTAGTTGGGTGGGCATTTACCATGGGGGTGCGCGGCATGTTAGCGCCGTTCAGTGCAAAGCGAGTAATCCGTGAGGGGCCTCTGTGCGCGGCATGTTAGCGCCCTACAGTGCAAAGCGAGTAATCTGTGAGCCAGCGGGAGTGAAGTGAGAAGGTGAGGATGAGGCGACTTGCGTGAAAAGCTAGAACACACGAGTTTACACTATGTTGATAAGAAGACGCAGGCGTGCCGCGCGCCGCGGTGTCCCCCCAACGATCTTAGCACATGCCACTCTTGCCGCGTGCGACGCTGCCTACGACAAGTGTGCACGCAACTCTGCAAATTCGATGCATTTTCTTAATTGTGTTGCTTCTAGCACTGCTGTGCATACGTCCGTGGACTTATTTGGGAGCAGAAAATAGCTTGACCGCACGAACTCTGACGCTGCGACTTGCTCCCTGAACCGGGATCGCGGCCACAAGAGTCGTGTCAACAGCTTAAGCACTTTTTCCCCAGTTTGGAGCGTAGAAAAATGTGCTGGACCCAGCTGTGTATGGCAGTGGAAGCCAGCGAGTATGAAAATGGAGAAAAATTGAGCGTGGTTCTGAATGTCTAGGCATCTAATTCATGCGTTCCATGTCTCGCCCGCCTACCCTCGGACCGTAAGAGTATGTTAATTGCTCTTCAGAACTAATCGTCTTGCTGATAACATTGCACGTTGGCTTTCCATGTCACAACTGACATACAATCCATGTCGAGAGTTGGGGTAGGGCGTGCCACCGGCAGCAGCCGCACTTGATAGATGTCGCGCGGATAAGCTGCTTCCAACATACATCGCTGGATATCAGCAAAGCATGCTGGCAACAGCTTATCCACGCAACTTTTATCAAGTGCGGCAGCAGCCACGTCACTTCCGGTGACACGCTTACCCCAACTCTCGGATATCGACTATATTTTTACATGGAAAAGAATGCAACAATTACGGGGACGGGTCCCCCTCCATTCTAAGGGTAAAAAACTGACGGTTGGATGAGTGGAGTAAGTTTGATGACACATTGGTAAATCATGTCTTTGGGTGTCGGGTGACTGCTTGTGTAGCACTACCACCAGCGATCGTTTTCATCACCTTCAACGGGCAGTCGACAAGGCCTCGTTCCTGACCCTCTCCACTCGCGTCCAGCCGCGGTTCACGGATTAGGCTTTACTCATAAATAATAACTGTACTTCATTCTTCATGTTGGCAACTGGGGCGAATAAAAGTATATAAGATTAGGTAAAAATTGGAAGATACGTATCGGACGAACAGCGAAAGGACGAAGAGGCGATTTCCCGGAAACGCTCACAGGAACCAAATTGATACGTAGTCCCTTCCGGCTCTTCGTCTTATCACCGCTATTCTTGCCTGAATGGTTGAAAAGAACATGAGAGTCAGGAATAGTGAGCAATCACAATGAGGTTAATTCATGGGAAATCAAGCTGATATCATAAGCAGTTTTCACGATCATTTGCTCTAGGACTATTCACAAATGTGGCTGCTTCTAGCAGCTAATTACCAAATATTCGTAATGATCTATATATCTGCGGTAAGTAGGAGTACATCACTGACGATGTTCAAGCCGTGTCAGTTTTGTGGCCTATCGCCACCGAATTCCCTAGCGATTGGTCGCAAAGTTTGACGCCTGCCTTACTGAGATCAATTGCCAATTCGCAGATGTCCATTTTAAAGTTAACATATAAATCAATTTGTAAAAAGCTCAAGGCGCTCATGTCCCTGGGGGGGCATTCAAAACAAAGTCGGACGCCCATGTCGTTGGGGGGGGGGGACAAGACAAGTAGTGAGCCAATTGCTGTGCTTAGGGCTAAGCCATAGGCAGGGGAGGATGTGAGCAATGTATGTGTTCCCCTGGTCTTTCTCCCCTCTCCTGGGCTTAGTTCAATGTGTCACCTACCATCGGCTCTGTTGTGATGTTTCCCTAAGGACATGAGCGCCCAAAGCGGATGTTAAGTGAGACTAGAGCTAGGTCCAACGAAGGGGAGAAACACTAGGGAGAACACAAATAACTCAAATGCTCCCCCAGGATCCCTTCCCCTCCCTGAGGCTTAGTCCCAAACACATAATTGGCTCACTCATTCAGATGTCAGCCCCCCCCCCCCCCTCCCCTCTCAAGGACATGGGCGCTCTGCTTAATTACAGTTCGTGAGTTGCTATCAGCCAACAAAAGTAACCAACAAATCTTCAAGGAAGCAACAAAGATGACGACAATTCCTAGCAAGAGCGGCAAACATAGTCCTATACCCACCAGCGACGCTTCGGTAATGAGCATCGGAAGCCCGATTCCAGTAAGTAAAAGCTATCGGAGTGTCGTCTCCCATAAAAGTGAACGACTTTCTAGGGTACTTGTTAGATTGAATAGCTTTGCAGACAACCGTAGCAACTCGTCCAAGCGAAGGAGCTGATAGCAGTGCAACAATTGATCGCGGGGATATTCTGAATCAAACCAGTTCACAGGTAAGGCCGCGTTCATAGTTCGCGACTCCGGAGATTAGGATAGTACGCGACAATGAAAAACATATGTATTGACGGGAGGATAGTAGTAGATTAGGATAGTAGTAGAGTAGGAGATTGCGCTGACAAGATTAGATACGTATCGATTGAAATCGCCGGAGAGTAGTAGATTGCGATATTACGATAGTAGGATAGTAGTAGAGTAGGAGATTAGGATAGTAGTAGATTAGGATAGTGCGCTGACAAGATTAGATATGTATTGATCTATTCGCTTGAAGTCGCCCAATCTACTACTCTCCAGCGATTTCAATCGATACGTATCCAATCTTGTCAGCGCAATCTCCTACTCTACTACTATCCTAATATCCTGTCGCCTACTATCCTAATCTCCCGAGTCGCGAACTATGAACGCGGCCTAATGAAGCGTTCAGAGCTGCCGATCGTGCGTGCGGCCAGGCGCATTAGGCAATCGCTCAATGGGCATAGCAGTGAATCAATACGTATCCTTCTCTCATCGCCTACTCGCTCACTCGCTTAATCGCACGTACGATCGCCGACTGTAAACGCTTCATAAGTGAAGTGCTTAAACAATATTCATAGTTTGCGACTGCACATACGATTAGGCCATTAATCGATATGTATATCATATTCCCTGTATCTATTTATTCTCCTTATCCTTTATCCTATTCCCTATTGCTTGATGGCCTACTCTATGTGCAGTCGCGTACTTGCAACGCTTAGCTCTTAAAAAGATACGAGTGAAATATCAGCAGGTTAGCAGAAAGTTGTTCACTTGAGTGCGATCATTTATAGACACCAACTTTGCAGGCAACCTTGGTAACGACGGGTTTAACTGAGGAATCCGAGCGAAGTACGACGGCTAGTGACGATAATGTCACAGAACCGCATGATGCAACCACCCCTGAGGGTCATAATCCGTGCATTCACTATTACAGCCCACGCTTCAAGAACGGGCTGGACATCCCAATTTCGTATCCCAGGGTAGGTCTCCCCACTTGAAAAATTTCCAATACTGCAGCGAATCATCTTATGGAATCCAGTTTCCATATGGCTCAGAGCACATGAGATTTCTCAAGCCTTGATGCCACGGGCTACCGTGTTCACTACGAAAACTTACTTCAGTGCTGGTTTGACCTATGGGGCACGATTATGATCTGTTTGACTTGAAAGCGCTTTGAGCTTGACGTCGAAAGATAACACGGGCAAATGCGGCGCGGACGTTCGTGCTAAATGGATGGAACGCACAGTAGTGATCGCCGGGTCAAATCACTCCCAAACATTTCTCGAGTCTACATTAGGGACGGTATTCGAAAATTAGGGGAAAAGCTTTTAAACCCAGCATGCTTCCGAAAAAATGCGTAACGGTAAGAGTGTGACGGTGTTTGTTTGTTCTGCGTCAGGGTTATAAAGAGGCCTCTTCTGAGCCCCGAACCTTGTCTTCAAAGGGCACGCTCCAGAATTAGTAAACGCTCGACACTGTCACACGAGTCGTATAGATACGGCTACGAGCAATTCCTCGTCTTGAAAATGCTCGGAATAACGGCGCTAGAAGCGCGCGAACCCTCAATCACGCCTGAATCTGCAAGCCCCGCCTTATCCACTGTCGGTTAGTTCACGTGCGTTGCTGCCGAGAAAAGCGCAAAAGGTTGCGACAGCGCCTGCATTGCCGCTCAAGATCGCTTCACTAGAACAAACATGTCCGCCAAAACGTCGTCCAACACGCTACCTCCTCTTACTCCAAGTGTAAATGCTGCTGAAATAAGCAAGCTTTGCCTCAGGGCGAGTAATTCAACAGGATTTCTTCTTCGCTTCTTTATCTATCTGAACATTCTCCTCACCTTCAGCTATCTTCTCGGCGACATGTTACGTATCCATTCGGTTTCCAAAGTTTTAGCCTTTACTTATTTGATAGCTAGAACACATGACCACGATCAAGCCTGAACAACACCTACGCTTCTGGTCAATTAGGACACGATAGCAAGGCGCACAAACCAGAGTAAGCGAGCGTTGAGCAGATAGTGGGCTTAACATCATTTTATCATAACAGCCTTACGAAAACTGGCAGAGCATACCCAGAATTTCAGCAAACAACAAGCAGTTTTGCAGATGAAAAAGCCGCTCACAACCGACTCCAATACAACGGCTGAGCTGATGAGCGACTTCAATACGACGGCTTCATTCACAACCGACTTCAATACAACAGCTCCACTGACTACGATTTCAATGTGACAGCTCCGCTGACAAGCGATTTCAATACAACAGTTCCGTCGAG